CTAATTTCTTTGCCACATTCCCGCTTTGTTGTGTTGGTAGTGAAAAATCCATGGCGCACGCTTGCGTTCTATTTCCAGTCCTCCCTTAACTGCACCGTCAATTACATCCCAATCCTCACCACCCCACGTGTCTTTGTTGAGGAATCTTTTTGAAAACCCTCCGAAGGATTCCCAATCCCTTTTGTACATTGCTATCGTGCCATAACTCAAGTGATACCAGACGCCTACGGGCTTATTGCTACTGCCACCACAATGCAGAAAGATGATTTGAGGAGCGTAGACTGTCTTTCCTTTGAAACAATGCTGAAATCAAAATGAGGTAATTGATTAGACAAAGGTGAGAGACCAATCGGAGGACGATGTTTACCCGTTACTAAGTTAATTCTCCCGTACATCAGTAACTACCTTACAGTTTATTGTGACCCAAGAAAAGCCTCGTGTGCCAACTACTTTGCCGGAACATTAAACACTTTAGTTAAAGTGGTAGAGAAACTGGCAAGAAAAACTGTTATTTTATTTTTTGTTTAAGATGGTTCAAAGTCACTCTCCTCTGGCTATCCATAACGCCGTCTACAATTACCCGGATCAATTTGAAATGTGTGGTCTACCCTTCTATGAGCAAGGGTCCGCAATAGGGTTTTTAAATCCCACCATCCCGACCAAAATTTTCCCTTTATCCAGAAAACCCGAACGTTTTTATCGGCCAATCCCTTTTTAATTACATTACGTCACAGCATGATGTCCAAATTAACAGTGTTGGGGGAAACCTTTTAAAAGGTTTTCGAGGCGAAGACGTCAATTTCAGATTTATTCGAATTACATTATGGACGATGTAGGCTTATACTGGCAGAAATCTTACCTTACGTATATCACTTATGGTCTGACTTCCAATATCAAGATGAAGATCTATAGTAACAACAATAGCGTCTGGATCATCAACCGATTTTATGGCCTCACTGAAAGACTTAGTCCTCGAATAGGGTGCAGGATTTATGATAAAATGATAATTCTTTAAGATGCTTCTTTGTAAAGCCTTTCTAATATCAATATCGGGGCTTCCAAAGTCATATATGACGACGTGCAAATGATCATCATTTGTTTCTTGCACGATCTTTTCAACGTTCTTTATAAAATGATGAACCCATCGACCCAGATTCTTAGCCGTGAGTATTAAATAAACATCCGCTGTCTTGTTCCACTCCAGAGCGTTAGGATAACATAAAAAAGAAGCGTCTTTTCCATAAGGGACAAAGACATATTCTGACAATAAGTAGTGTTTTCCATCGGTGATATCCTTAATAACAAGCTCAAGTAGATATCTCTTCCCTTTCTTGGGGTCGTGTTTCATCTCTACGCGCTTGATGGTGTTGAATGCGTATTTCCTGCAGTATAAAGAGAACTGTTAATCTATCAAGTACTGTCTTATGTGTTAAATAAACGCTTTTCACCGCGACATTGTTATTAAGGGGGCAGTCTGGGGCAGTCTGGTTAAAACAACCTCGTCCCCAGAGCTTTTCCCTCAAAAAATGGGTGGTGCCCCACCCATTTTTTGAGGGAAAAGCCCTGGGGACGAGGTTGTGGTTAAAAGCATTGTTTTTTGTATATTTCCCTCCTTTTTCTTAAATATTTAATGAATATTTGATCAAGAGCCATAATGGGAGTCGTTGGTTCAATTAGGTTTTGAGAATTTTGGGGTGATTTCTCAAGTGTTTTTCAGTAAAATATCAGAGGGAGGGATGTTTGAAATTTTGGAAAACCTTGGGAAATGCTGTAAAATTCCGAAAATAAGCCCCTCCAAATATTAGCCCCCCAAACTCGTAACGCAAAAAACCCTCCGCTAAGTCGCCCCTCCAAATATAAGCCCCCGGGGGAGTTAGCATTTCTTAGAACCCCCTCCCCCCAAAAAAATAATTGCGATTGTGCTGCCTTTCATTGTTGACAAAGCAGTATCCTTGTAAGACATTATCAACAAGCGACTCACCCTGCGTAACGTTTCTCAAGTGCAGCTGTGTATCTGTCGACTACCGAGCGAGCTTCTCGTTCTTCCAAAGGAAATTCAGCCGAAAATGCTGGTCCTCCTCTTCCCCTTGTTATTCCATCGACACTTGAATAGGGTAAAGTGTACGTTTTGTGGACATGTTTATAAACACCTTGATATTGTCTAAAACCGGCTACGTTTGCCGGATTAAGAAGATAACTGGGGTTGTAATCGCAAAAATTTAATGCGTTCCTCACTGCTGAGCTTTCTAAGTAAGTGATCCTCTCCGGTTTCATGTGTTCGCTTGCAAATTTAAGGCGTATTGATTCACAAGCAAGCACGTCAGGCAAGTCGTCATCGTAAACTTTCATGCCAGCCATGTCACTGTCATTTTTGAACAGAGCAAAAAACTCCCCAGGGATAACTTCAAAGACATTTTTATCTGGTCTTTTCCAGGCAAGTTTTACTTGAGGGCCATTATTATTTCTAATTTCGCCCCGAGCATACACTATGTCTATATAATACGCATGTTGGGCTGACAACTTCACACTTAAGTTAGAAGATTCTAGAGATTCATCTTTCGGAAGCCTGCCTGTTGGGTAGCCGTGTGCGATGTTCGCTCCCCCTTTCCAACTAATGCTTTTACTAAGCCAAACCTCCACAAATCCATTAGTTTTAACGGTGAAAAAATATTCGCCAGTCACATTGGGTCGAAGAAAACCCAGCAGTCGAAGGCCGGTAACTTGTTTTGCATTTGAGGAGATGTTAACATTGTCCACGATGGCTCGTCTGTCTGGTGCCTTGGGAAAGATTGGAAAATTGCAAAGGTTTTCGAGACTTTGTAGGCACCTCCCTTCCCATGTATGTTGATTCAAACCTTTAAAGAAGTAGCTTGTTTTCGTGTCGGTTTCAACTTCATTTACCAGCAACTGTTCCGGGAGCGCCTTAGTACGCTGGCGACCAGAGAAAGAGAAAAGAACCAAAATTACATACAGGGCGGTGAGGCCAGCAGCTATCACAAATGACGTCTTAATACAAGTTATGCTCACAAATGATTTCTTAAAGCGAGTCATACTCTACTGTCAGCAGGTTTTTCATAGGCACAGTCTGATGGTGCATTATTTCATCACGAGGACCCGCATACGACTTTCTTTTGCACACCACATGACGCCGGCGTTGTTAAGGATGCTAAGTTTTGAGTGACAAGCAATAAACTTCCTACTGCGAAAAGCAATTAGTTTCTTCACCGTTTGATCTAGCCTGCGTGGCAGGCGTATGAAAGAGAAGGGAAAGGCGGTTTTGGGCGCGAGGGAAACGCGAGGGGCGCGCGAGGAGGGCCCCCTCCCCGCGCGCTTCTCGCGTTTCTCTCGCACCTAAAACTCCCTTTCCCTTCCCTTTCAAACGCCTGCCACGCAGGCTACGTTTGATCCAACCATCAGGGTCAGTAATACATTTTTTAACAAGATTAAAGGGGCTTCTGGCGATAGAGTAATTAGAGAAGAGATTTCAATTTGCGTTCTCAGCTCACGAGTTATCCAGAATAATCGCGCATAGCCTACGACTCAAGCGTTGCCTTTCTGGTCTTTGCCAGTATTAAAATGTAGCGTAGTTCCATATTGTATTGAATGTATTGAAGGTCGCAGAATTTAAATAGAATCGGACGAATGTTGCTAGATAAAAGCTTTGGTTCAAAATCAGTGTTGATTATGTATAACCCGCAGTCTGTGAACATACCGCATACTACTCATCGTAAAGGAAAGATAGATGTCAAAGCAAATTGCAATCATTGATCTCCGAGGCTTTGTGTGTGCAGATTCAACCAACTTTTTGGCTTGAGCTCGCTGGTGCGTTGTCCTCGTACTTTTATGGCCTCTCTCTGAGAGAATCTTGTACATTCAACGCCCTATAGTTAAAAATTTAAACAAAACAATGGAAATAATAATTAACTTTTTCTTTATGTGGAAGAAGTGTGACATTATAATTTGAACTCTGATCGAATAAAGCCAGCATTGCATTCTTGAGATGATCGTAAAGGAAGGTGTGTGCGTCTGCGTAGGTTTGGGTGACATTAGGAGAAGAAGACGGTCTTCCTATGCTTTGAAAATGTTTCTGAGCCTAACGATATTATGATAAACGTGTAAGTGGTAATATTCATCGGCAGTCTGGTAGGCATTTTGATGTAGAAAACCTTAGATATTCTAATCCGACTGCATTTGTTTGGTGACTATTATGCATGATCTGCTGTCAATGATGTAAAGCGTGTGCAAACGGGCTACATAAAAAAAATTTCCGTTATTTAATGACGGATTTGCGGAAATACTATTGTTAGCAGTAACTAGGCCTAAATTCCTACAGATGTCATAGTTGAGGCAGAAAACACAAAGACCAAGAGATCAAATGGATTCGGTCGAATAGTGAAATCGTCATCCCGCGAAAACGTGCCCAAGCCCGCCAGAAATTACCAATGAAGGAAAATGAAATCACTTGGGCACAGAAGAAAATTAAGGGTTAATATGTCTGATATGTTTTAGCTCGAGTACGCGAGTGTTATTGTAATGCCATAGTGTTCTAAACTCTTAAGTGCGATTTTTAAAGCAACAGAAACACTAGGTGGCGCGCCCGTGATTCTGTGAGTTAGACACCACGGTATTATGAAATCACTTGCGCACAGAAGAAAATTAATGGTTAATATGTCTGATATGTTTTAGCTCGAGTAAGCGAGTGTTATTGTAATGCCATGGTGATCTAAACTCCTAAGTGCAATTTTTAAAGCAACAGAAACACTAGGTGGCACGCCCGTGATTCTCTGAGTTAGACACCACGGCGTTATGAAATCACTTGCGCACCAAGTGGAAATTTACAGGTTAATATGTTTAGCTCGAGTAAGCGAGTGTTATTGTAATGCCATGGTGATCTAAACTCCTAAGTGCGATTTTTAAAGCAACAGAAACACTAGGTGGCACGCCCGTGATTCTGTGAATCAGACACCATGGCATTATGAAATCACTTGCTCACCAAGTGGGAATTTAAAGATTAATATGTCTTAGCTTGAGTAAGCGAGTGTTATTGTAATGGCATGGTGACCTAAACTCCTAAGTGCAATTTTTAAAGCAACAGAAACACTAGGTGGCGCGCCCGTGATTCTGTGAGTTAGACACCACCGTATTATGAAATCACTTACGCACAGAAGAAAATTAATGGTTAATATGTCTGATATGTTTTAGCTCGAGTAAGCGAGTGTTATTGTAATGCCATGGTGATCTAAACTCCTAAGTGCAATTTTTAAAGCAACAGAAACACTAGGTGGCACGCCCGTGATTCTGTGAATCAGACACCACGGCATTATGAAATCACTTGCGCACCAAGAGGAAATTTAAAGGTTAATATGTTTTAGCTTGTGTAAGCGAGTGTTATTGTAATGTTATTGTCAGTATTGTGTTCTAAACCCCTAAGTGCGAGTTTTATCATGCAACAGAAACAGTTAGACACCAAGATGTTATGAAATCACTTGCGCAATAACTGGAAAATTAAGGGGTTTACAAGCTACAGAAGCTATATGTCTGTCTTAGAGTGTTTTGTAATAGGTGATTTTCTTGTAGGAGACCCTCCGCCAGTTATATTTTTCGGCATTTATTAGTAAAAGATTTGTGTTTTCGTTACAAATAAAACACGCGTAGCAAAATTCCCATTTCCGGCACTTTTAGTACGTCCTGGAAACTGGAAAGCACAGTATACGTAACCGGTTATTCGGAAAAAGGCTTTTCTTTTTCTTTTTGATATTTATTTAGAAAAAAACTGTTGCGATCCGTTCACTGAGAATCTCTGCTAATGCGGTTACATTTCGAAAACAATATTTTTGTGGTATCGCGTTCTCCTCGAGGGCGGCCTTTTGCTTTTAATCACCTGGAGAGACTTTGGTTTCGTTTAGACTACGAGTAGTCCCCCATTTTTCCTCAGGGATAGTAGTCTAGGTTTAGTTTTAGTTCGATTATTTCACGTCGTAGTTACAAAGAAACGTTTCGGCGTGGCCCACCCAATGTAAATAAATTTGAGTAAAGTGGCCGAGTGTTCTGAAGTTGCTCTGTTTGAAAAGACATTTGTAATTTTTGCAATAAAATCGATGATGTATTTACGGAGGTTTCGGTTATCGTTAGAGGAGACAAAAGCATATTTTGATTGTTTTAATTGCTCCTGTTGGAATAAAATGTCATATGAGTTAGCGAGATGAACACACGATGACGTGCGAGTAATAAGTTCCAGGGATTTCTTATAGTTCCCGATCTTCGGTCCTGAAATATGTTGTCAACACTTCCTTTGTTTTATATTGCGCAATCGGTCAGTTCAGATGACCGTCGTGCACGTTTCCAAGGCTTGCGGGTCATCATGTATATTCATTTGCCTGCTGCACTCTCTGACGCCACGAATGTGTTGTTTGCATATATATTTCCACAAAAGAATCATTAGTCCGTCACAACGGAAAAGCTTGGCTGCCTTTGACCATAATATATCAATGTTAGCTTTATTTGCAACTTCAGTTAAACTATGTGTTTTTAAAAAGTTTCACTTCCAAGAGTTCCCTGACCGGCCAAATTGAATGACATTTGGAAACGGCCTGACTGATCAAACAAATCAGCGATGCGGCACTGCAAGCACATTTTTCGGACGCCTTTGTTTAGTATCCAGTGAAGCATACTATTTAATAATATATATATTTTTTCGTTGTTATTGCAACGTAAGGGAAAAGAAATGTAGTTCTGACATTCTATCGGCCAATCAGGAATGCCGTTTGCTCCGTCCGCTTTCTAGACTGCGAGCGGTCTCTTTTTTTCTTCAGATTTAGTGAGAGCATGCGCAATGCACCGCGCGTAGCCATTCGCGTTTCTCGCGTTTAGACTACGAGTAGTCCCCCATTTTTCCTCAGGGATAGTAGAGCGAGCGAAACGCGAGCGCGAGTGAAAAACACCCCACGCGAGAAAAGGCGACACGCGGCGGGAAGAGAGAAAAATGAGGGACCCTTATTCTCCCCGCCCCCTCCCCGCTCCCTTGGACTCGCCCCATCTCCTCCTCTCTTCCCGAAATTCCAGCATGGCACTTTCGCGAGCAAATTGCGCGCTCAAAGAAAACGCCTGCACTGCAGGCTATGATATCTGTTGTTCCATGTTGTCACTAAAGTTCTTCGTATATTATAAGTAACGTAGTGCACACAGATCAAAGACTGAGTCGAGTGGTCGTTTACAAGAGGTTAAAAGCGATGGAAAATCATTAACCATCAGGCCCAAAAAGTGGTCGCGGTCGCTTATAGGAGGTCGTCGTTTACTAGAGAGTTCCAACTGTACGGCTTTGCTTGAGAAAATTTTGGTGTTTTGGATTGGCGGTCATTTATGAGAGAGAAGGTGGTCGCTTACGACAGATAGTCGCACATGGAAGTTCGACTGTAGTCTGACGAAATTTAGGCGTTTACATTTTTCCCATAGTTTCTTAAATTAGACGTTTAGTTTTACCAATCGCGGATGCAGACCTTCAGATAAGGAAGGGGGGGGGGGGGTCATCCAGACCCTGAGCTGAGGAGGTAGCCTGGTCTAAAAAAACTTTTTTTTGGCCCTTCGGGCCTCAGTTTGTTCTAAAACTAATTAAGTGTGATGTTGTATTTATGTAATTAATCGGAGATACGGCTTTGAAGTTATGTGTGTATGTATGTATGAACCGAGGTCAAACGAGAGAACGATGGGTAGTTAGCGAGGGAAAGAAGACAGACAGAAAATTAACCCTAAGAGATTTTTAAACTCCGTCTGCCATCGGACGGAGCAAACGCCATTCCTGATTGGCCGATAGAATTTTAGTACTACATTTCTTTTCCCCCACGTTGCAATAACGAAAAAAAATTAAGATTTCAAATAGTATGCCTCACTGAGAACTAAACAAAGGCGTCCGAAAAGTGTGCTTGCAGTGCGGCATCGCTAATTTATTTGATCAGTGTAACTCGCCGTTTCCAAATGTCATTTTATTTGGCCTGCCAGGGAACTAGTGGAAGTGAAACTTTTTAAAAACGCTTTCGATAACGGTTTTTTTTCTCTCGCCTTTCTCTCATCCATAGTAAGTAAGTTGGAACTAAAGCTAACATTGATACATTATGGTCAAAGGCAGCCAAGCTTTTCCGTTGTTTACGGACTAATAATTCTTTTGTCAGATTAATCAATGAGAGACTGCCTCCTTCGAAACATACATGGAAACAACCAAGTATGCGGTCGTTACGTCAGAGAGTGCCGCACGCAAATAAAGTAAATAAAGTAATGCAGTACCCCTAAGAAAACTAGCTGATGGTAGAGTATGTCTCGCGTTAAGACATCATTTGTGAGCATATCTCGTATTAAGACGTCATTTGTGATAGCTGTTGGCCTCACCGCCCTGTATGTAATTTTGGTTCTTTTCTCTTTCTCTGGTCGCCAACTTACTAAGGCGCTCCCGGAACAGCTGCTGGTGAATGAAGTTGAAACCGACACGAAAACAAACCACTTCTTTAAAGGTTTGAATCAGCATACATGGGAAGGGAGGTGCCTACAAAGTCTCGAAAAACTTTGCAGTTTTCCAATCTTTCCCAAGGCACCAGATAGACGAGGCATCGTGGACAATGTTAACATCTCTTCAAATGCAAAACAAGTTACCGGCCTTCGATTGCTAGGTTTTCTTCGACCCAATGTGACTGGCGAATATTTTTTCTCTGTTGAGACTAATGGATTTGTGGAGTTTTGGCTAAGTAAAAGCATTAGTTGGAAAGGGGGAGCGAAAATCGCACACGGCTACCCAACAGGCAAGCTTCAAGAATCTCTAGAATCTTCTAACGAAAGTGTGAAGTTGTCAGCCCAACATGCGTATTATATAGACATAGTGTATGCTCGGGGCGAAATTAGAAATAATAATGGCCCTCAAGTAAAACTTGCCTGGAAAAGACCAGATAAAAATGTCTTTGAAGTTATCCCTGGGGAGTTTTTTGCTCTGTTCAAAAATGATAGTGACATGGCTGAAATGAAAGTTTACGATGACGATTTGCCTGACGTGCTTGCTTGTGAATCAGTACGCCTTAAATTTGCAAGCGAATACATGAAACCGGAGAGGATCACTTACTTAGAAAGCTTAGCAGTGAGGAACGCATTAAATTTTTGGGATTACAAACCGAGTTATCCTCTTAATCCGGCAAACGTAGCCGGTTTTAAACACAGTCATGGAGTTTATAAACATGGCCACAAAACGTACACTTTACCTTATTCAAGTGTCGATGGAATAACAAGGGGAGGAGCAGCATTCTTGTCTGAATTTCCTTTGGAGGAACGAGAAGCTCGCTCGGTAGTCGACAGATACACAGCTGCACTTGAGAAAAGTTACGCAGGGTGAGTCGCTTGTTGATAGTGTCTTACAAATATATTCTCGGTTTTCACCCACGTGAGAAAGCAGAAATAAAAATGGAAATCTTTTAATACAGAAAGTCTAGAATCTCGGAAATAAAAGAAGATAAATATGCAAAAAGCCTTGCCAAGAATCAGGTCTATGCAATTGTTCATATGCGAGATATTCGGAAAAACGTTTTACCCAAATTTAGAAAGCTTTGTATCAGGATCGTAACAAGGACATTTTTTTTGCCAACTGATCCCACATTTAGGCCGTAAATTTTGATCCTTGATCCCCAAATTGTTGCAAAACTTGATCCCTGATCCCGGCCGTGAATTTTTTTGATCCCTGGATTCAATCTGGGTTGGATTAACTGCGTGTACTTTATAAAAACTGAAAAAAAAGTGTTTCTCTTTTTATTTCTTTTACAATTAGTCACACTCTGGTCAACGCCCATTAAGCAATTTCTACCAGAACCGTATTCGGCAAGCAAAGACTTTGACCAATTCTTTAGCTCTGTCATCTTAGCTCCAACCACGTCCAACAAACTGAGTCAACAGGTCAACAAGCAGAGAGTAAGTAATGTGCTAAAAAAAAGTAACATAAGATAAATATCTTCAAATTCAAGAAAAGTTTCTCCACGTTTTGCAGACTTGAAGGTAGTCCAGCAGATCGGATTGCATTAGTACAGTTTTGTACCGGATCGAAATGTTACAGCAAAAATACAACTGAAATGGAAAATGTTGGCAGGTTAATCCTCCAATTAAGGCACATTTCAGAATTTTGTGGTCTTTGTTGTTTCGTCAGGAAACCGGATTCCTGATCCTCTTACAGTAATACTGATCCCGATCCCACGGCTTGTGATCCCAGATCCCGGCGCTGTGATCCCTGATCCCACCCCATTTTTTGCTGTTGATCTCTGATCCCATATACCTAGTTACGACCTTCTTTGTATGGAGACGCCATGTTTGTGTCCCTTTCAGGGTAGACTACGAGTAGTCCCCCATTTTTCCTCAGGGATAGTAGAACAAGCGAAACGCGAGCGAGCGTGAAAATCACCCCACGCGAGAAAAGGGGGTTATTTTCACGCGCGCTCGCGTTTCGCTCGCTCTACTATCCCTGAGGAAAAATGAGGGACTACTCGTAGTCTACTTTCAGGGGCACAAATATGGCCGCCGGAAACCAACAGAAACAACTGTTTTTGAGTTTTCTTACTTATTCGTGAATTCTTCTCTTGGGGAACTCATAAAGATTAAAGTAATTCATTCTAAGACAAGGAATGTTTAGATAGCAAAATCTCCAAAAATCCGTAATGTTTTTAACCCACATAAGAGCTTTCCCGGCCGCCAGCTAAATGCCCGCGCGCGTCACGCAAAAAGCCTGGAAATTCAAGAGTCCTGTATCGCAAAACAAAGAACCCTTTTCAACCGAATTTTTTTTGTATAAAGGTTTTAAGGTGCTCTAGTATCACATGAAAGTAGAAACTCAAAAGAAGCGATAGTTTCTTAGTTTGAATTTTGGTGACGTCATGTGAAAACCAAGAATTGCTTGGAACTATGAAAGGCAGCACAATGGCAATTTTTTTTTTTCTGGGGGGAGGGTACCTGTCTAAGAAATTTTATAATGACAGGAGCCTACATAGTCTCCTGATAATAATAACTAATGGCTTTGATTTATACTATCAGGTGCAGTATTACAGAAAGCTTCCAGTGTCCAATCAAAATGCACTCCTTAGCAACTGGTAGATATATGTTCAAATTTAATGGAGCAAATGAAAGTCTCCGAGGCACCTGACTGAAAATAAAAATCGTACCCACTTTATAAAATTACTTATTTTCACCGAGTTACAATTCAGCCTTCCATGCACGGGTTTTCCAATCATCTCATCGCGTCTCAACCCAGCACAGTTAACTATTTTAGTTCAACTCGATTACACGCATCGCAATTAGTCGAAGCTCTGTACAGTAATTTCGGTGAAACTAAATTTCCTTGGGATAAACCGACACAATCGCCAGCTAGGACGATTCTACCTGATACAGCTCCTATTCCTTGGGTATTTTAGCCACACAAAGAACATGTCGACTTAAATCTTTCAAGCGAAAATTCAGCATGCCGATGGTTGTTTTTTTGGGAAAAGAGTAGAAACGGCCGGTATACACACTGACTAGCTGGCTCCTGAGTCCTCTCGGGGCTCAGAGGCACCTTGTTGTGTTGGTGGACTATCTGGTATTTGTCTACGAATTATTCTCTTCATATTTTTAATTTCGAACAAGCCCCAAATCTAACATGCAAAATTCCGAAATCAGTAAGCCCTGGGGCTTATATTCTTCGAAGGCCCTTTTGGGGGGACTTATATACGGAGGAGAAATTTGCGCATCAAAATCGGCCGGGCTTACACTGCGTGGGAGGGAAATTTACGTCTCCAAATCGATTGGGCTAGCTTATAATTGGAGGGAAATTTTATGTCAGTAATTTGCAGAGAGTTTTTACTGAAACTCGCCTTGAGGACGTAGATCTTACAAAAACTCAGCCATGCAAGTACTTTTTCTATATGGAACGACCGAAATCCAAGCCAAGAGTTAAGAGTGAACTACGCAACAGCAAGCGACACTTTTTGACTGCAATCATTTAGAGGACGTAATAGTTCTTCGGCAAATGCAAAAATGTCTGTGTTACTGAACAGTTTCTGCTTTGTTTGTTTTCACAGGGCAATTTTCAAGTACAAATCCCCGGGGCTTATATTTGGAGGGGCGATTTAACGGAGGGTTTTTTGCGTTACGAGTCTGCGGGGCGGTACGTTACTTTTACGGTATTTTCAAAGGTTTTCCAAAATTTTAAACATCCCTCTCTCTAATATTTATACATTAAAAACATTTGAAAAATCACCAACAAATTTAGGCTCTATTTGGCGCCGCTCTCTCGGACCTCCCCAAGAAGAGACGGCCGTTTGAAATCTGCTCCAGGAAAATAAATTTGTGCTACCTGCTCAGCCTGCTCGATTTGAGCAGGCAACGATCTGATTGGTAGTAATTGACAATAGCTAGCCTGCGAAAACAGAGGAGCGAGGGGAATCGGCTGTTTTCGCAGATTAGACAATAGCAAACTAGCTATTCTTCCAGCCGGTCTGTTCCGGCGAGGAGCACAGGCTCATTTCCCAAACAGCGGCTGGTAATCTAGCCTACCAAAAATTCTCAAAAACTAATTGAACTGAGGATTCCAAACTAACTGAGTCATTTTTTGATTGAATGAAATATTGGCTAGATATTTAAGAAAAAGGGCAGAGATAAACGAAAAATAATGCTTTTAACCAGACTGCCCCCTTAATAACCCATTTCAACAAGCTCACGGTGAAAAGCGTTTATTTAACACACAAAACGGTACTTGATCGATTAACACCTTCCTTCATACTGCAGGAAATACAAATTCAACACCATCAAGCGCGTAGAGATGAAAGACGATCCTAAGAAAGGAAAGAGATATCTACTTGAGCTTGTCATTGAGGATATCACTGATGGAACACACTACTTATTGTCAGAATATGTCTTTGTACCTCATGGGAAAAACGCTTCTTTTTTATGTTATCCTAACGCTCTGCAGTGGAACAGGACGGCGGATGTCTACTTAATACTCACGGCTAAGAATCTGGGTCGATGGGTTCATCATTTTATAAAGAACGTTGAAAAGATCGTGCAAGAAACAAAAGACGACCATTTGCACGTCGTTATATATGACTTTGGAAGCCCCGATATTGATATTAAAAAGGCTTTACAAAGAAGCATCTTAAAGAATTATCATTTTATCATAAATCCTGCACCCTATTCAAGGGCTAAGTCTTTCAGTGAGGCCATAAAATCGGTTGATGATCCAGACGCTATTGTTGTTACTATAGATCTTCATCTTGATATTGGAAGTCAGACCATAAGTGATATACGTAAGGTAAGATTTCTGCCAATATGAGCCTGCAAATTTATCCGGATTAGAATGGATGAACAATTCTTGCAAGGACCATTTGGAAAAACAGCAGCGAGGGAAAGCCGGATCTTGTCGTAGATCAGGATCATCAGTATAAAATAACACTTTCAATTGAAGGCAAGGCTGATCGGACAACTAAAGGTTCCAAATTTATTTCCCAATATTTCGACTCGACAAAACTAGTCTCCATCAGGGGCTAGAAAAGCTAAGTGGACGGTCCATTCTAATCCGGATAAATCTGAAAATGAAGTCTTCCTCACGAAAACGTTATGTAAGGTAGCTACTGATGATATGGCAGGTAAACATCGTCCTCCGATTGGTCTTTCACCTTTGTCTAATCAATTACCTCATTTTGATTTCAGCATTGTTTCAAAGGAAAGACAGTCTACGCTCCTCAAATCATCTTTCTGCATTGTGGTGGCAGTAGCAATATGCCCGTAGGCGTCTGGTATCACTTGAGTTATGGCACGATAGCAATGTACAAAAGGGATTGGGAATCCTTCGGAGGGTTTTCAAAAAGATTCCTCAACAAAGTCACGTGGGGTGGTGAGGACTGGGATATAATTAACGGTGCAGTTAAGGGAGGACTGGAAATAGAACGCAAGCGTGCGCCATGGATTTTTCACTACAAACACAACAAAGCGGGAATGTGGCAAAGAAATTAGATGACCTCCTTTTGTTTTTGTTTTGATGTTAATTCAAGGGCGGATTTAGGGTGGGTTTAGTGGGGCCCGGCCCACCCTTTTGTCCGGGAATTTTTTTGCTTTTGTCAACGTGTGTCGGATGTTACTTCGGCTTTGTTACTTTAAATATTGTTGCAGAATGCATGCAGTAAATATGCGTCTTTGAGAATAGGTCATTTCAGGAGTGGTCATTTGCATGATGGCGTCATTTTACTGCCATGACCAGGATCCTTCAAGGTTTCGCTTTCTTGTGCAAATTAGGGATTTTGTTATTTAGACCTCACTGGGATTACCAAATTTAAATATGAATTCTGGTCGTAGTAGTAAAATGCTATCATTGGTTTTGTAATAGAAAGGTTTTACAGTTTCTTTTAAAGGCAAAACTGTTAAGAGACTTCACTTCATTTGGAATGGTTTCCCAAATTAGAGCTGAGTAAAGTGCTTGATAGCTCAAATAGCATACACGACTTGAAAATCACAAGTTTAAAATTTGCTGACGAATGTTATTAAATTTAATGCTTGAAAACAGATTACAACTTTCTTTGTGAAGGAATGTTCTAAACCTCATCATTGTCACCAAATCTCTTAGTACCCTCTTCATTTCCACCATCATCACCGTCATCATCATCATCATAGGCAACATTAACAACATCATCGTTCCCTTGATTATCATCATCATCATCATAGACAACATTAACAACATCATCGTTCCCTTGATTATCATCATCATCATCATAGACAACATTAACAACGTCATCGTTCCCTTGATCATCATCATTAACAACAACATCAACAACATTATCAACACTTTGCTTCTCTAAATTGTAAATAGCACAATCTACATGTTCAAGAGCATCCCCACTAAAGGTAGTCAGTTCCCTCAGTTGCCTAAGTGCTTTGAGATGGAATTTGGGCCTCAAAAAGTAGTGTGCTTGTTCGGGAAATGAGCCCACGCTCCTCCACCCAACAGTCTCTTCTCGGAGACAAGAGAGCGGCGGAAATCGAGCCTAAAAAAATCTGTCAACCTTTGGTTACCTTTTTTTTCTAAACATTAGTCTCTCCACCATTTCATCATATTGCCTATAATTTACTTTCCTCGTCAAGATTTGGGGAGGGGTTTATCATTTTTTTTTGGACAAGAGGGGAGGGCTGTCAAAAATTCTGTATGATGTGGGGGGGATGTTAAAAAATTGCCCCTTAGAGAAATATCCTCTGCCCCCCCTGCAGTATACATAATGAATGCAGCCTAAGTCCAGAATCTTCCAACTCTTCCGGCTGTTTTGACTCGAAGTCAGGAGCTCTATTTCCTGTCCATATCCAAAAGGCATTAACAAATTATATCAACGTCTGTACGCACCAAATTAAAAGGACACAGGAGATGCTTTGGAACGGTAGCAGCAGGTTTCTTTTCGAGACGAATTAAAACAGTTACAAACACGTCTAACTTATCGCAGTTTGAATAATAGCAGAATATAGTCTCGTCATTTTCTTTAACGGTCACTTACAGCAAGATCACTTTTGAAAATGCATGTTGAATAGCATACGAAACCAGGAGCCGATGAATCGGCTCCTGACGAAACGTCAGGTTCATAAAAATGCGTTGTTTGTATTTTATTTTGTAACTATATGCTGACTAATACGCCTTATGCAGCTGGTGGTCAGTCTTGTGGTACAACAAACGCCATGCTGGGACCAAAGAAGCGGCACTGGGACAAACAAAGGAGTTCTCGGTTTGTCTTCTTCACGACGTTTCCCGCCTTTCAGCTTGTTGTCTTTGTACCACGTAACTGACAAGCTGTAAAGGGCTAAAAAGAGACGACGACAACAACAACAACAACAACATCTATTTTCTTGACATACCGTAACATGAGAGGTAGTCAGCAGCCGGGAAAGGGAGAAACACTAATCGAGGGGGGGTCAACACCTAAGATTATGCTCATTTAGCAACAGAACGTCAACGTCGGTTGACGACGGGAAAAAAACTGCGCTGCACGCCTTGTAGCTGGGCAACCTAAGGCTGCGCACATTCGCCCCGTCCTTAAGGAGCTACACTGGTTACCTGTGGAGCAGCGAATTACCTTTAAAGTATTACCGTTAACTTTTAAAGCCCTCAATAATCTGGCCCCTCCTTATTTAAGTCAACTTATAGTCCCATATAACCCTACAAGAAATCTTAGGTCAGCTAGCAAACATTTATTAGAAGTACCGAATGTCCGCCTGAAGAGCTATGGGGACAGGGCCTTTTCGGTCGCTGCCCCAAAGCACTGGAACGATATTCCCTTAGACATTAAATTAAGTGGATCAGTTGATGTTTTTAAATCTAGATTGAAAACTTATCTTTGTAGACTCGCTTTCAATTGACTTTTTGTTTTAGTGCTATTGTTAGTTAGTTATTTTCTTTTTTTGATTGTAAAGCGATATAGAGCTTTTGTATATACCGCTATACAAATAAAGTTATTATTATTATTATTAAAAAGCACGGAAAGGGCAACGCACGACTTCCGATGCCCAATTTGCCGCTCTGCTATTGGTCAAGCCATTTGTTTGATTTGTGCGCGCCGTCGTCAAGTTAACCGAGTACAAATGACTGACTGCGGGGCTTCAACCCTTCCGTGTGCGTGTCTTCACCCACCTATTTATATAGCTACCGGCCAGCGGTTGTTGGCGTACAATTAAAGATGGCGGACAATCTGGCGGCGGATTGTTGTTGAAACGCTCTCTTTATGTATACATGTATAGACTCTTTTTATGGCCAGATACAATGATTAACCTTCTTGCGTTTCCTTTGACGTTGCAAGATAGTTCAAATTTTTTAAAACGATATGTACCATCACCCTAGTAGAGCCGCCAAGACCGGACGTGTGGTTGCTAGGGATGTAAGAGAGTTTACAGGCTTTTGCTCTGTTAGCGGAATGCGGCTCTCAGCAGGTTTTTTACATTCACTTTTTAATTTGTACAGGGTGCAAACTTTGGTTTACAGTACAGCTTACAAGCTCAGGCGACTCCGGTGATCGAAAGACCGCATGGAAAACAGGTAATAAAAAAGTGAAGAATTTGATGTGCCCGAACGCTAAAGATGACGATAATAACACTGAACCTGACTTCATTTTCGATTCACCGGTATAACTCTTTGTTGGTTACTAAAGACGAAACACCCACAAAGCTTTTAAGCCTGAGGATAATGAATCCACTGAAAGAGTATACTGTGCCACACAATGGAAGTATTAATGCGTGTTCAGGAGAAATTTTGACATTACAAACTTACAGTATTATGCACCAGTCATTTGAAACCCTCGGACACACTTGGCCTCATATTTACTCCACTTTTGTTCCCCGGTAAGTGGGGGATGTGCTATGTAAAACAGAATTTTCAATTATAAGTACCAGCCAGCAGCTGGCCAAAGTTAACAACAATTGCATTAGGGATGGGTCAACTGATGTTTGTCCTGTAACAGTAGCTAGAAACCTAGGCTCATGGTTTGACGAGCAGCTCACTATGTCAACTCATATTAGCAAGTTATGTGGTGTTGCCTTTTACCATTTGCATAATATCAAACGCATTCGCAATTATTTGTCTCAAGAATCAACAGAAATGCTTGTCTATGCATTTATTGCATCTCGTGTTGATTATTATAACAGTCTTGTATGGGCTGCCCAACTACCAGCTTAACAAATTGCAGAGAGTTTTGAATGCCTCAGTCAGGCTAGTTTGTAATGCCCCTAGGTTTTGCCACATCTCTCCCCTTCTTCGTGGTCTACATTAGCTTTCTGTTAAAGCCCGGATACAATTTAAGATACTACTTATTACGTTCAAAGAAATTCACGGGCTTTCTCCTAAATATCTATGCGATTTACTAACATTTAAATCGTACTTATATAACCTTAGATCTTCAAATAGTATTTTACTTTCTATGCCAGCTGTTCGATCAAAGACGTTAGGTGATAGAGCTTTTATGGTAGCAGCGCCAACGATCTGGAACTCTCTTCCAAAAGAATTACTAATGTGAGCAGTTTTAAGGTGTATATTAAGACTTATCTTTTTAGAACTTTATATTGGTGAGCAATGTTATATTCAGTTCTTACTTGCAGGCATATATATTCTTTTTCTTGTTATTTTTTTATTTATTTTTGTTTATGTTTTATTTTTAAATGCATTATCTTTTATTTGTTTCTTGTAAGGTAATGCGGTTGTAATGCGCAGATGATCATTCTCATGTTAAGCTGCGCGCAATAAGTTCATAAATTATTATTATTATTGTTATTATTATATTAATCCCTGTCTTCACCTCCCTGACAGGATAATAAGCGAGGCAGTCACTCTGTAATCAGCGGTTTTCATTTTTGTCCTGCATAGTAACATAACTGTTAAAACAGCCATTTCTCTTCAAATGATATCAATTAATATTTCATATATCACAAGACATAATAAGCTGTTACTTTTGGATAAATAGTGTTTTTCTTTGAGTTTTGTGGTAATTGTCAGTAGTCATTGTAGTTGTCTGTTGTGTTTCATTGGGGCCAAAATAATATGGGGAAAAAAGACATACAGCTATAAACTGTACCATTAAATGGTATAGTTTATTTTATATGAGCGTATCAGGTGTGTCTTAGCTGAGTTGCCTCCTATTACTTGTGTTAGTGGCCTTTTTGTTTATAAGACTTTAAAACAGGAGTTGTAATAATTATTGATTTTGTTGTTTTCTTGCATTTTGTGACGTCAAGTTGTAAAATAGAAAGATCATTTTGAAATCTTTAATTAATAGTCTTCATTTTCTTTCTACATTGAGGATTTACAGGTGTGGCAATAGCTGCTCTGAAATTAAACGTTTTCTTTCACAGCTATTATCATATTATTTTGTCATCCCTTGTTATGCTTGTTAATAATGGATTAGAGTTGATTTTAAAAGGGAGTACTGTGTACAATGTACACGTGTGTGTCATATAGGGGTGGGGGAGTTCACCATTCATGGCCCAAGGAAGTGGAGAATTCAAGGGTCTAAAGGATTCAAATGACTGTTGCATTAACTTGTGGATGAGAAAAAACAAACTGTTTGTTCATTACATGTACACTTCATTCTAAAAAGGAAAAGATCAATAAATAATTATTAATAATTTTATTTTGCTTAGGAACTTTACACTATGCAAGTGTAAGTGGTAATAGATCAGTTTATTTGCAATTGATTACGTAGTTACTGTGCATGTCCCATTGTCTGTATGGCAGCTTTCCTTTTTTCCTAAATGTACAATTTGTATCCAGCAAACACAAAAAAATTGAGGCAAGTCAAGAAAAACGTTTTTCGATTTTTCTGTAACCTGCATCACAGATGTAATCTTACACTGTTAAGCAAGGAAGTTCCAAGATCTGAGCCACCAACGGACTTAATGAAATGGACTCAATGAATTTCCAGAAGTGCACTTCAAATTTTACGTCAACCGCATAAACTAACTGAACGATGACCTTTTTAACAGGCCAATCATGCCCTGTACTCAAATCCAGGTACACAGCTGGAACTCAGGATATCGGAGATGTTTCACAGAGTTAACCAGAAGTTTTGTCTGCAGTGCAGGCTAATTCTCCCCCACTGTTAAAAAAAAAAAACATTTTTTGATATTGTAATATTGTGCGATGTATTGATAACTGTTTTGGATGGGAAAATACAAATTTGCCAGTAAATTGATTTGTTTTGAACTTTATCTTTATCCTGCTTTGCTGTTTTAGGGTGTTCCTGAATGGAAACAAAGTGCCTATAGCAGAGAAACTGGTCCTTTGACAAGACCATCTTCAAACACTAGGATTGATAATGGCACAAAATATCGTCACACCATATCACCACCTCAAGATGTTGATCGTCCCTCTTCCATTTTACGTAAGTATGCAGTCTTGGAAAGGTACATGTAGAAAACTGTAAACAGATTATGCATGTTCCACCTGAAAACTCCAGACAAAAATTCCAAATGGCATAATTCTGTTTCTTGTAAATGCAAAGCTTTCACAATCAAGAACAATTGTGATTTCACATTTAACTTTTGCTGATTACTTCTATGAGTTTTTTTTTGTGCTGCATCATTTCATATTAATTTTATTGCAGAATATTCCCATTCAAGTGTTGATGTAGTGCAAGATTCTAAGCAGAATTATGCAACCCCATCTTTCCGAGAACTTCACAAAGTTCAGCGCCAGGTTTTACAGCCAGCCCCAGCATATGTGACGGACCAAACATCTACATCAGGAGCTTCAGCAAGTTTTATGAAAGTGATGCCAGAAAACACTTATGAGGACAGTTTGCCGAGTCGACATTCATTTAGTGCTGGTTCTCAGGCACAGTCCAGAAGTAAAACACAAGTTTTCCTTCCAGGTGAGAAAAGCTCTCGTTGCAAGTATCTTTTTGTTGATAATTATTAGGCTGCATAAAATAAAGCTTAGCTTGTGATCAAGCCCTCCATCTGGGGGATGGGGACTAAAAATCACCAGGAGATGGTGAGGGAGAAAATGGAAGAGGGGTGCCCTTGATTGACTCCCTTTACTCGTTGAGTTTTGCCGTTTTTTGCATACATAAATACACTGTTTACAGGTAGCCATGATGACACCTGAAGGAAGATCATGAGGTTATCCCCATATTAAGATCTCTCCTTACAGATAGCCCACCCAGCCCAGTGAAGTTTGGCCACACCACTGGGGTCCACATGTACATGTACATCCCCTACTCCTTTCAAACAGTGAGTCTGTGGTAGGGGTTCATTTACATCCCACAAGATAGAACCAGGTAAGTGAAGATGCTGAGAGAAGGGACCTACGGTTGTGGGCCTACTGAGTGTTGGTCTGGCCGGGGTTTAAACCTGCGAACTCCCACTAAACGGACCAGCACTTTCCCAGCTGAGCTAACCGGGCAGTGGTATAACCAAGTACCCTGGTCCCAGGTTATACAGAGTGGAGGGACAGATTGAAACATGAAATTCACGTTTTGTGTAGCCAAATATAAAAAAGTTAGTGAACTACTGCAGTACTTAAGCCTGTATTAAGTGGTCCCCCAGTCAGTGATTGGCCAACTGACAGGTTCCTCATTATATATTGTAATAGAAGTGAGAAAAATTACTGAGAATTTATACTGAGGGCTATAAGATAGACACGTTTGTTTAAAGACACCTAAAGTTGGTCCCTGCCTTTCTTTACTCCTTTTATTTGACTCTCTGTAAGACAGACACTTAGTTCTGGTCGCAGAGGTGTCCGTCTTAGAGAGAGTTGACTTTAAATGGGAATTGGCTGTTTTTGCAGGTGACAGGGTGATATTTGCTGAATCGCCATCAGCGCCAGGTATACCTATTGTTTACAGGCTCCCCGAGGAAAGACAGGCTAATCCTGACAGACTCAATTTAGACAGGTACCTTTAAAAATTTCTCAAAATTCAGCAAAATTTAGAAGTTTCTTTCGTAAAATGCTGAAACACAAATAGTACTATGTGGGAAAGCACTTGGATAGTGCAGTGGTGAGAGCACTCACCTCCCACCAACATGGCCCGGGTTCAAATCCCTGCATCGATGCTATAATATTATGTTGATTGAGTTTGTTGTTGTTTCTCTGCTTTACTTCAAGAGGTTTTTCTCCAGTTGGACCTAAAATGGTAGATAAAGTTAACCACTTTGTAGATGTGCTACCTCTAAATTACTGTGTGTTTATTTTTTTATGTACAATGTATGTATGTGGAAGTACAGTGGACTGCCATGTTAACACCATGGGGTTTTTTGCACACACACTTAAGTTAGAACCACTATATGAGACTCTATTGTACACTCTGAAATTGATCAAAGGAATCAAGTTTTGAGTTTTGAGGACTAAGTTTCAAGGTTACTGTAGATTGCCAACTTTTTTTACATGCCTTTGACTGAAACTGAAGTTAAAAAATGCAAATTGCACAAGAGCATCTTTAATTCATAGCTACTCTTCATTGTACCAGATCGTTATTATAACTCACCATACTTTGCTTGATGGATGTACTGATAGAGTAATGTTTGCTTATATTGTTTAATATTAGGAGGAGATTGACAATATGCCCCATACTTGAGGGTGAAGACTACCTTCGTCTCTTGAACTTTCAACACAATTTGATTAACAGAATCTCTCATCTTGAAAATCTCAAAAGGCTTATCTTCCTGGATTTTTATGATAATCAGATTGAAGAGATTTCAGGTCTGTCTGCCCTGAGATCTCTTAGAGTCCTCATGTTAGGAAAAAACAAGTAAGTATTTTTGATACCAAAAATAGGATACAGTCAATGCTCTCTAAGCCTTTAGGACAGTCACTATGTGTCAGTCTTAGAGAGATGTCCGTCTTATAGAGAGTTAACTTAAAGGTGTCTGTCTTAGCAAGGTGTCTATCTTATAGACCTGCTGTTACAGTCAAACCAAGTCAAGCGTTCCCGTCGCTAACGAACTAATGAATTCATTCACGGAAAAATGATTTCGTTTGTTGATTCAATAATCCATTCATAAAATGAACAATCCAATAGTCATATTTAGCCTCGATTCCCTAATCGAATGTTGATTCGATTACTGTTTTTTGAAAAATTACACTTTCCACAAGTTGACCTCAGAATTTGTTTTTTCCTCTTTTTTTTCTGAGAGTCGAGTGCTGGCGAGTTCTGAAGTTCAAACCCAAACAAACTGTTACATGTACGCCAGTTTGCTGCCAATAATCAGTGCAACAGACCTAGGCCTGACCTCTTAGAAAACACGACGGTCAAACTGAGGTCAGTGTATGTGCGGTGATTGGTGGATTTCGATCCTCGACCTTTGTCAGTTTCTTTGCGTTTGCGCGGTCTGTCTATTCTAGCTGTTATTTTGATTAAAGGCAATGAAAAACGCAATCGTAAACGGCAGGAAAAGGGAAGCAAATACGATTGAACACAACAGACAAGAATAAAGAACAGGTAGATTTTGTTCATAAACCAAATCAACATTTGATTATTGAATCGAGGTACAATTTGACCGTTGGATTATTCATTTTATGAATGGATTATTGAATCAACAAACGAAATCATTTTTCCATTAATGAATTCATTAGTTTGTTAGCGACGGGAACGCTTGACCTGGTTTGACTGTAAACAGAGTGTTGAACTTGTATGAAAACTAGACTTGTACTGGAAGATATGATGTACATATGTACACTTCAGGTCAAAAGTTTTTAACTGCTGCAGATGGTAAGTCGGCACTTATTTTTTGAAAATGGTGTAGAAGTTAGCTTTGGGAAAGGAGGTAACACGTTAAGCATTACACAGATGTAGCCGTAATCACACCGATAGTATAATAGGGGCTTGGCAAGCCAAAACACTGCAATTAATGAACACTTTTAGGTCTTGTTCAAAACAAGTTGCATGTGCTTGGAACAGGGTTGCACAGTCTTGAAAAGTCCTTGAATTTTCTTCAACTTTGAATTTAGTGGCCTGGAAAGTGTTTTTTGATGCTTTTTGCTTGTCCAAGACAGAATGTGAATCATAGCTCTGAGAATTTATAGGTTATTTACGCATAGTGCTCAATGTTTTATGCATTAATTAACTACCAAATTAAGACAAGTGAACTGAAGAATGTAGAGAAGTTGGTGAAGCAAACATTTCAGGCCTTAAAGCCTTATTAGAGTAGACTGGGGAATGTGTATTTTTGTACAACCTGTGAAATTATACTCCTAGTAGATGGTCATTGAAAAGCTAATGTGGTACTTGAAAAGTCCTTGAAGAATGGTTGTAATTTTTTGTACGAACCGTGTACAAGCCAAAGTTTCCATCTAAGAATTGTCTGTGAATGATGTGACCCTTAAGGCTTTTACAAACATTCAGATCCGTTTTATACCATGTGCCACTCACAACAACTAAGTCCGCCAATTGAGCCCTCCACTGCCCGCCCATTAAAGAATCCTTTATGACAGTATTCTATGTAACATGTATGTATTTTTTAACTTGCTTCAGAATAAGAAGAATCAGTAATCTTGAATCTCTTACGAAACTTGATGTGCTTGACCTACATGGCAACAAGGTTTGTCGAAACTAAAAGGCTCTCAGTAAGACTTAAATATCATTAGTTTTCATATGTCAAGGCAGCTTAATGAAGCATTTTGCATATTACGTACATGTGGACAGTGCTATGTTAAGTACAAAAGGTTATGTTTTTCTGAACAACTTCCAAACACTGAGCACAGCACGAACCTTTCTACGACAGTTTTCAGAGGTGGTTCAACTCTTCTAAAGACATCTAAAGAGAACCGAAGAAGTTCCAAACGCGTTTCGATCCAACTGTCTGAACTCGTTTGACGCTACGCTGTATTATATTGAGGGCAAAAAAAAGTAGATAACATAAATTTATGAGTAATATCTTCACGTTTTCTTAGTACAGGGCTTGAAATAACTATTGGGCAGGCGCTGGACACATTGTCCGGTCAAACGTGATTTTGCTTGGACATAGGCATTTTTGGCCGGACAAATTTAATCCATCTTAACTAGTTGCAATAGAGGCTCCATTTTGCAAGTTACATGATCTGTATCATTTTCAGCAACAGCAACTCTAGTTACTCAAAACAAATCGAGTGTGCAAAAAATTAGAAGTTGTAGTTTTATTACTCTTTGTTCTGTTTATACATTGTAAGTCAGACACGTGGATTGCAAGACACAACCTCATCGTTAACGTTTGGTTGAAACCTGACCAAATCACTAACAAAACGTAACCTTCAACTTTATAGTACAACATTTACATTTTAGCAAATGCTGCTTTGTTTCTACAAATAATTTCAAACGGGCAAATAAACTTGTGAAATCGTTTGGTTCAATAAACAGGGGCACCCAACGAGAATATAGTTCAAAACCACTTAAACATAGAATTGTTAAACGTATTTTAGTATTTAAACGGTAAAATGCTGCTTTGTTTCTACAAATAATTTCAAACAGGCAAATAAACTTTACAACAAAATCGTTTGGTTCAATAAATCAATCTCTCAATTAACACGATAATAAACGCTATTAAACGGAATGTAAATTAAAATACAAGTATGTAATATAATCCTGACTTACAAGTTTACTCTACCGTTCGGTTGAATGCAAATCTATACATTTTGTAAATTCTCCGTTACATCTCTTACAAGTTGCGCATTGAAAATAATCGTATCCTTCGGCGTGACCTGCTGGCGGAAGTAACATCGCCATTGGCACAAAAAATCATGGTAGTGGGCATTCATTGGCATTTGAATGCGTTAAAACTTAGACATAATGTATTTCAAAGAGAACAGGGTGATGAATGTTGAGTTAACCTTGTGAATTAGTCGTTTAGTGATAAACACGCAACAAATTTACGGACAGGGCGAAATAAAGACAAACTCTATTTTTATGTTTACTTCATTAACACTCAAAGCCTTTTATTTTAATGTTACATTTGTGAAGTTTTATTGGAGCAAGAGGGTGGCCTAATTCATTATACTGTCACTCTGGGTCTTTCTTTTTTTCGCTCTTGTTGGCACCAGATGCTATGCGGGTTATTTTCGGCGCAGCGGGGCGTGCAATCTTGAGCACTTTACAACACGCACAGCAGTAGCGAATTTGCGGTCGCGACTGACAACAGAAAATGTCATCAATTTCACAAACAAAAGTCCCTCTAGTTAATATCTTTTTGGGGAACATGATAAGATTGAATAAATTTCCATCATGATTGTCTCAAAATTGAATTTTCTTTGAAAGCCCAAATGATTGGACAACATGTCCGGTCATCCACGGATTTACTCGGACAATGCTCGATTCTGACCAGACATTGTCCGTTGACCGGCCGTTATTTCAAGCCCTGTCTAAGTACGGTGAAGGTAACGTTGATATCTTTTTAAACGTGCTGTTCAGTGTTGGTTAAGGTGAACCATGTTCCTTGATCCAGCGTGCTTTTAGTGAAGATCTTCATGAGTGTGTAGCAGGGTTTGAAAGTAGTCTCGTCCGGTAGTCCGGGACAAGTAAATTTCCTTGCTGGGGGAGTAACTGTTAAAGTTCACTTGCCCAATGGGAAAGGGTGCAGGCAATTCATTCTCTAACAAAATAATTAACTAAGGCGCACAAGAAGTGGTACCGGGAAAAAAAATGTGAGAACTGCTTGCTCAAAGGACAAGCTTGAATTCAAGTTTTTTTCAAGCCCTGGCGTGTACAGTGTATCATTAATAAGTACTTATGATTTTATCTTTTTATTCTCTTCAGATAGTAAAGATCGAAAATCTTGCACATCTCACTGAGTTAAGAGTTCTCAACTTAGCTGGGAATGAAATTGTGAATGTTTGTAACGTCAGTGGAATGAAGGCTTTGGCCGAACTGAACTTAAGAAGAAATAAAATTTCTACTGTGGTACGTATGTATTTTTCTCCTGGTATTTTTTAAAGTTTTTAAGTTGCTAAAACAGAGTGGGGGAGGGAGCGACGGCTGAGGGGACAAAAAAACTCAGAGTTTTTCCTTTGCGTTTTTCTCTTGTTTGTCTGTTGTTTTTTTCCAGTCAAACATAAATTTAATCTGAAGAACCTCCCATAAATTCGCTTTTTTACAGGAAGAAATCGACCTGTTGCCAAATCTTCAAAGACTGTTTTTAAGTTTTAATTGTATAACAAGGTAAGATCCTATGAAATTTGGTCTTTTCTTCTACAAGCCGATTCACCCACCCTGAGGTCGATTCCCGTACATCATTTGAGTTGCTTCACCTCCACTGAAGTCTGTACGTGTAATAGTTCTGTACAAATAGGAGTAAAGCTCACCGATGTTTAAAGCAACTGTGTTGGCGAATCGTCCTCAGTTTAGGCGAAACAACTTAGATCAAGTATAGGCGAATCGACCTCAGTGTAGGCGAAACAACCGACGTCGTTCGCATAGACTACGTACTGCACTGTCCCTTTAAATGACGATATGATCATCGCAGTGGTAATTGCAATTTAAGCAATTGCAAATTAACCTGCAGTTCACATCATCTTTATTCCATGTATCACTACTCTTTCTAACACTTGACGTGACTTTGCTACAGATGTATACTGATAGAGGTGTTAATGATTCATCTCCTTTCTTCATTTTTCAGCTTTGATGATATAACGTGTTTATCAAATTCCAATTCCCTTAATGAACTGTCCTTGGATGGGAATCCCTTTTCAGTAGACCCCAGTTATAAACAGGTCATTTTAAGGCACCTATCAAGTCTGCGCCAGCTCGATATGAAACGGATTTCGGTAAGAGTTAAATGTATTTTTTCGTTGTTTCCGCTCGAATTGTGAAAATTTTGACGCCAGTTCTACGGTCTGTAAAAGTATCGTCAATGGGAAATTGCTGTCTATTTGTTTGCACAAGACTGTCGTCAGGTCTTCGGTATTGCCGCCGCTAGATCGTTATTCAAGGACTAGAACGACTACGGGGACAAGATTTGACTTAAAGTTTTTTTGCGTATTCTCAAAACATAGACACCCTGGAAAGATTTTTTTCACCAGGAGAGTTAGCACTGTTATCTTCATTAAAGGAGGTTATGCCCTCTGCCCATCGCAAAATGATAAAACTTCTGACATTTGATAACTTGTTTCTGCCACTAAGACATAATTGTTAAAACTCGTAGTAGAATGATTATGGCTATCACGTTTTCCCGCCAAATCGTAGCTGGTTCATGCGCGAGCACTACTTGGTATTGAGAAAGTCTCGAACTCTTAGCCGAACTGGCCTTAGAATCTAAAGGTTTCTATTACTATCGGCTTTAGAACTAGTAGGCAGTTCTAAAAGAACAAGAATGTAGTGGTGTTTTTGTTGCAGGAAGAAGAAAAAAGAATAGCCTCAGTCATGGCAAGAAAAGAAGAAGAGAAAAAGAAAGAAATCAGTAAATTAGCTGTGCTAAAGGTACTCCATGTCTCGGATCGATGCTGTCTCCCTGATCTGCCACTCAGAAAAATGATGAAAACGAAATCTTAGGGCACTTTCCATAAAGAGAATACCATTATTAATCTACCCGTCAATTTCTATTCCTTCGGAAAGGTTTTGCGCGAGAACTCTTGAAAAATCCTATTTCATTTACAAAATGACGTGTCCTGCTTGCCGCCGGTTGGACAAAACCTGCCCATTTACATTCCCGTTTCTATTTTTGTGTTTCCAAAAGGTGTAAACACTCTCACCATTTTAAAATCCCTGCAAGTATACTCTCTAGCAGCGTTGACTAATACATCCATGTAATAGTTCACTGGCAGTTTCTTGTAAGGTCTGTCTGTATGTATTCTATTTCTTTATAAAATTCAGGAAAAACGTCGTATTGCTATCAACAATGCACAGCGGCAGTGGGAAGTATCGCGAATCAAAGAAAGGTATGTGCATTATTACAACGAGTTCACTGACCGATGCACCTGTTTAAACTTGTAACCTGAAATATTAAAATATTATTAGTCTTGGTCTCTGTACACACCATACCGGATGGCTTTCGCGCCGGCACGAAAATCGTACGGGACAGGGCTTCTGTTTACACATGGTTGTGGCGGCGCGATTTCTGTGACGGAAGCGGCGTCATATATCGGATAGGTTTTGTGTTATACTTTGATGCATGACCCGTCGCGGAAGTAAATAGGGATCTTAAGATCCGACGACGGCGACGGCAACGGGAAGGGCACAAAAGTAATAGGTTTAATTAGCAAAACAAGAATTTTGTACGTGCATCACGCTTTTTTGTACATTTGATTTCTTTGCCGTCACTGCACGACTACGACGTGACAATGCCTAATTTCACGATTTACAGAGGAAGTACACAAGCGAAAACGAAATTTCCTCTCTCTTTCTGAACTTGAATATGGTTCTTAGGAATTCAACTTTAGGAGGGTTCGCCTACATTTGACAAAGTTAGTGACTTAGAGTAATCGCGATGAAGATTGAAAGAACGCGAATTCACTTTTTGAGCGACGTTTTCTCTGCTGTCGCCGTCGTTGGATCTTAAGGTCCCTAATAAGTAGACGGAGACGGAGGTAAATATTAAGGAGTGAGGACTGGAATTTAGTGCACCAAACCCTCTCGGCCAACTGCATCGGCGATGTTGGATGTGAGTGAAAGACTTCTGCCACCCCGGGCTGATGCTCTTTATACTATACCCGGATAGCTTTCCGTGCAGGCGGTACTGTGTGAGCATAGCCTTGCAGGACATTATGTCATGTTGTTGGAAAATATTAAGCTTTTATACTGTACATGTGTGTTTGTCACTGCTCAGACAAATCACTAGATGTCACGTAGTGAAAAACTTTCCCTAAGCAAGGTGTCCCAAATGTCTGCAAAAGAAGCTCTATCTCCTCCGCGGTTGTGGCTACTAGGAAGTGATTTTCTGCCGTTTTTTTGGCCTACTTGTCTGCTTAAGCTTATAAAATTGAATTCTTTTACATGTATCCTCACTAAGTACCTCAAACTACATAGTCAAGATTAGCGACTTTCTTTCGAAGAGAATTTAGTGTAGACTGGAGTCAGTCTCCTGATGGAGATATAGAAGGTGAGTGCCTCTAGCACTGGCCATTTAGCACTTATAATTTCAGTTCTTCCCCCATGGCAAAAGAAAGGAGTAATGTTAAGGGTACTTTACTCACGCCAAATCTAAACTGTTTGCAGCTTGAAGTCTGATTCGCGAAACATGACAGAGAGTGCCTCGCAAGCTCTTCAATTTTCTGGAAATGCAGATGGTCCCGGCCCTGAGCCACCAGAGAATAATACGTAAGTAGCATTGGCTGACATGACGCTGAAATTTTCATCTTGCCCCGAGCCATCTGATGGATAAACATCACGGCAGGAGTTGAAGGAGTAGTAGGAGAAGTATACTTAATTCAAATGTCTGGGTTTTTAGCTTTTAAAATCTATGAAAATGCAAAAAATCCTCCCTGAAACTGCCTCCTCTACAGGCCAGGCTCCCAAGGCATAGTGGGGAGCACGGAGCAAGCGAGAGGGGGGTTATGGGAACGAGCGCAGAGCGCGAGCGGGGTGTGACGGAAAGGAAATCATTTTGTTTGGAAAGCGAAGTGGGCCCTGAGAGAACGCGCTAGTGGTGAGCAAAACCGCGAGGGACTTTCTTCACACTTAAGGACCCCCATATGAATGAAATATCAATCCGAGTTGGACCAAAAACTGTCCAAAACAAAGCGTTCTTCACTTAAGTTAATTTCTTTTCCAGATGTGCCGACGTATCAGTGGAGAATTCCAGGTCGACAAACGCATTGTGATATCTACTATGTGGGCATCTACGTTTGTTATTACAACATTGACTTTTTTTTTCTTGATTTAGGAACAGGGATACTGTCCCTTCCCCCCTTAGTATATGCCACCTGGCAGAGCTTGATAATGACACACTTTACCTGTATGGCCCAGGCTCGTTGGATGCACTGGATCGTAACTGGGGTAATCAAGCTGTACAGGCTGTGAGCGCCATCTCCTTCAAATTCATCGACTTTGACAACATCGTTCCTCAGTTGTACAAGATAAGAGCTCGATTCCCTTCTCTGTTGGTGAGTATACCACGAAAGAAACATGACTAACGTGCGAAGTTGTAATTTTAATTGTAAATTGTAATTAGTTCCGAAACACTTAGGAGCTCTTTAAGAGAACTCGTTAAAATGTGTCCCTGCATATCCAGATCGAATTGAAATTTGGAAGTGTTGGTTTTTAAGGAGAGGGGGAAACCAGAGTACCTGGAGAAAAACCTCTTGGAGCAAGGGAGAGAACCAACAACAAACTCAACCCACAAATGGCGTCGACGCCGGGAGTTAAACCCGGATCCCTGGTGGGAGGCGAGTGCTTTCACCATTGCGCCACCCCTCCTCCCCTAAGTTGCCCTTTAGCATCGGTGCATTGTTAAAAGTGTTACCCGTAGAGACGTCTTTCGTTTTTGGTATCTTAGTACAGGGCATACAACTGGTCAAAAAGGTTTCTTTCATTTGAACATGCTTTCACATGGAAAGTTGCTTGAAAGTTTCCGACCCACCTGGCCCTTCATACTCGGCTGAATTGTCAAAGAAATTTCCAAAAAAGAGTAAACATAAAACCTCACAGCGTTGAAACAAACGAACCCTTTGTCTTAATCCGGCTCCAATCAGGAAATGCGATAGAGCTCTATAGTGTGGCTAGGCAAACAGTCAGTAACTCATACTTATTTTTGCATTGTAGGGCCTTACGTTTACAGAAACAAACATCAGAAGTTTGCAGCAAATAAATTCTTTATCCCTACTAAGAAGACTTGATCATCTCAGTATCAGCAGCGAAGGAAACCCCGTCACAACCTTTACTCTTTGGAGACCATATGTTCTTTTTCGTCTGGCACACTTTTCTCTTAGAAAAATCAACGATATCGAGGTTAGTTAAGTAACCCATATTTTCTTCCATTTGAGGGATAACGCTTTAATTTAATGTTCATCATTGAAAACAGCCGACATTTGGCGACGCTACCACTGGTTTCCCCGCCAAATGACGTCTGAGAAACGAGTGCAGAAATTCCATACTGATGACGAGGCGTCACTACCCAGATCTGGGCAGTGCTTCTCATTAGTCATGCCGCTCGGGAAATTTGATTCAACCAATCAGAAGCACTACCCAGATCTGGGTAGTGTCGCGTAATCAGTACCGTTTCTCAGACGTCATTTGGCGGGGAAACCAGTGGTAGCGTCGCCAAATGTCGGCTGTTTTCTCGGGCAACATTTTGTTTTTCTTCCATTTATGGTGGTCTAGGTGACGGCTGAAGATAATGTTGCCGCTGAAAAGTTGTTTGGAACGTTGGCTCACATTACTACATCTCAGCTTCCTCAATCCAGACTCCTCACCATGTTGGGAGATTCAAGGTAACATGCAACCTCGTTTCCAGGTTTCTCTCCTGCTCGTACCCTGGGAGCGAGGTTTGGTAAAATTTAACTTGTAACTGATTCAGTCCAGCTCTACTTGAAAACGAGATTTCAATTTATTTGGTCGCTCACTAATAAGACTTTAATTCGCCTGTTATGTTTACCATAAGAAGTTTTAGTATTAGTATAGCCTGCGAGCAAAGCGAGCCGCGCAAGAACGCGCGAGCGAGCAGCGAAACCGCGGGGGGCCACCCCGCTTTCGCGTCTCCTCTCGCGTGTCTCTCGCGCGTCTACTTTTCGCAATATCTCCCAAATGGAGAGCCTGCTCGCGGGCTAGTATCTGGAAGGCTTTATTTATGGAGGGTGACACTTGACAGTAGTAAAAACACTGATAAATTAGTGGCACTCATTACACTATCAAAAGTACCTTAAAAGTGAAATCAGTATCATAAAAATTCTAACACTATACATTAAACAGTAAAAAGAGCGACAGTTAAAAATACAAAAAGCTTGAAATATCATTCAAAGTGGCAAATCAGCTGAAATAAATTCTTAATTTAAAAAGCCTCATATTTGGAAGTTCTCAGTTCTTCAACGAACTTGAAAGAACTTACGATTTTAGCCAGCCCGGCTGTAAATTAGGTCTTAACATAACTGTAGATAAATTATGTCTCTTACTGGAAATAATCTATACAATGGTTATTAAATCGTAAAGTAATCCTTATGTTTTTCGCTTTGTGTTGATGTTGTATTGTCAGTGGTAGATTAACTGTTAGTATCTTTGCGTTTCAGGCGAAAACAAGTTCTGGATGCGGATAAGAATAAAAGAAGCGAGCCTGGAAAACACGAAAGGTAATCGTTTATCAATGGGTAATATTACTACTATTTTTTTATTCCAAATTCTAATCTGTTGAAGTACACATTACCCTTCTGATATCATTCCTTAGCGGCAAGAATATCCGAAGTTACCCCGGAGACTTCCGAAAATTTATCGAGCTTGACGCAAAGTTTTCCGAATCCATCCAAAACCTGTCGGAATTAAAAAAAAATGCCCTTTATTTGAGTGTATTTAGCACGAAAGTACCAATTGGGGACACTATTTTTACGTTTCGTACTGGAGACGGGACCGCCATTAGGTGCTCATCCGAGCCAGGCGAAGATCTACCCGTTTGCAGGGCAAAGGGAGTACCTTCATTTCTCAGTCATTTTAAGACCCTGAGTGTTGGTCCGATCCCGGGAATGGAACTGGCTACCTCACGCTCTGCAGTCAAGCGCTCTACCTACCGAGCTAATCCTGTTGCAGTAACCCGAACGTTTCGTGGGATTTCGGACAAAGAGCTGAACGTTAGCGAAAATCTCCGTGAAAATGATACGAAGACCTATCTTGCGCGGTACAACAGTGTCTATTGAGATTTTTCGAGGCCTCTTTTTGGGGGACTTCCCTTTATCAGTTCACATCCTGATTATGTAATCTCTCTCTACTTCCCAGGACTCCCTCTACGGAATCTGTCAGCCGCGCAGGACTACAGTACTGGCCAGCGGAATCACAACGGTCTCATAACCAGGTATGTGTATCTTATGTTTCAATTGTATTCTTGGTTTCAATCTTATTTTCCCTTTTTGTTTCAAACTTATTTACTTTTACAGATGCTTTTACATTACCATACCCAAAAACAAGTTTAAGATTGAACGACAATCATGTTTTTGTGGCCACTGTCCTAGTCTACCACGCAACCGTTTTTTTGTGTCGCCGCGCCATGCTCCTCCCACAAGGATCGCGTGACCACAAAAAACGGCTGCGTTGGAGAGTACCAGCTTACCGGCACTTAGAGCAAGCAGAGTACAGACTTGTTTTCTATTTGTTTTCGTCAAGGAAGCAGAAGAGAGAGGAAAATTTGCTGTAAACTACATGAAGGAGATCGCTCATACCGCCATCCTCACAGAACGAAAGAAAAAGAAATTAGATGAGATCCTGCCGGAACTGTTTTGTCAAATGGTCCAAACGGCTGTGGTGGACCTTGCAGATTTGGATAAGTTTATGAGAAACAGCTTTGAAAAATTAAAACAGAAATAGAAGAAACAGACAAATTATTGCACTGGCCCTCTGACGTAAACAGAATCTCTTCCATCACGCCATCTTCCCCTTGGAGAATTTTTAAATGTTGTCTTAGATTTTCGATGAAATAGTTAAGAAACACACCTAATATCAGACTCAAAAAACAGTTCCACAAGAATCACAAGATTTGTCACGGGTACAAGATTTTTCATGGTCGGCTGGCTGGCTCGCTCCTCCAAGTGTTAGTATATTTAACGCAAAACAAGTTATATTGTTATTTATTCCTGGAGAGCGTAACCGGGGCTTAAAAAACGTTCAGCAAGCGAGGCGACCTCCTTAAGAGACACGCCCTTTTCCCCTTGATTCCTGCTGAGCCACAAATGGTTAGATAAAAGTTCAAATGCTTGGATTGTATGGCCAAATGAAAAAATGGAGGACGCGGAGAGTGGAAAATGGAAATTATATAAAAAGTGAAGATTGGGGGTTATGAAAAGTACGTGTAATAAAGAGTTAAATGTTTACTGAAGATCATAGTAAATATTACCCAGTAGGAAGTCGACGAGCTGACTTTTCCCAGTCGTCTCTATTTGGATCGCAACTTCCCATCACCCATCGCGCTCCCATTGACCGCGCTTTTTTCGTTAATGGGGACCTTACGAAACTACGACGTCGACGGCAACGGGAACGTCAAAAAAAAAACAATGGAATTAGTGAGCAAAACAGCAACTCTGCACGTGCATCACACTTTTTTGTACATTTCTTTGCAGTCTCTGCATAATAACGACGTGAAATGACCAAATTTTAAGTTTACTTGAGAACGGGGACGGCAAGGCGATAAATTCTACCATCTCTGTCAGAACTCGGGTCGGGTGCGGTCCCCTCTCTTCAGCTCCAACCCTAATTCCCTTCTTTTGAGTAACTGGGCCTCTTGGAATAATCACGAAAAAAAGTGAAAGGATGCGAAGTCTATTTTCCAGCGACGTTTTCGCGAACGTCGCCGTTGTCGGATCGTAAGTTCAGACAGAGAGACGACTGGGGACGGGTAGGGTCAAGGAGCGTGAATTCCGCATCAGGTAGTGTGCACTATGACGTCATTTGACCATAAACCCAGTG